ACCTCATAGAGGGCCTTCCTCTCCTGCGCCGTCCCTCCACCCTCCCAAGCATGATGTCCCTCTCCAAGGACCGGTGTGTGTGTGTGTGAGAGAGAGAGAGAGAGAGCATCAAAATCTTTGCCTCCAAGGAGCAGCCTGGGCTCCCTCTCTCCTGAACAGACTTATTTGTTCTCTTGGCAATCCACAGTATGTTTAATACGCTTCCTCAGCACCACAGTTCAAAAGCATCAATTCTTCTTCTATCATCCTTAGTCGTCCAGCTCTCTGATGCATAACAAACAATTGCTAAGACAATGTCCTGAATCAGGAGCACCTTAGTCTCTAGACTGACATCATTCCTCTTCAGGACTCTGGAGTGGTCCCTGACAGCAGATTTTCCCAGTGAAATTTGTCCTTTGGTTTCCTGGCTGCTGGTACCAAGAGTGTTGATTGTGGAGCTGAACAAACACATGCTGTAGCAATCTCTTCTCTCTATCATGCCCTTATAATACCAATTAACACCATGAGCCCTATGAGTCAGGTACAGAGCTAGTTTGTAACAAATTGAAGATTCATCTCAAGTTATGCACTGCTCCTCTGAAACCTACAAGAGCTGGGAGCTTTGGCTTTTGGGCTTCCCTTCCACAGTCCTCACCTGCCTGTTCTTGTATAGATCCCACCCCTCTGAGACGGCTATGGATCCAGCTGCACCCCTAACCCCAATGTAATCTTATTTGAGAATAGGATTTTCTCTGTGGTTTTCATGAGGTTTCATCAGCGTGAGTCCTGAACCTCATCTCCTGAGAGTAACATTGTTGCGGTTGTTAAAGTGTAGTATGACTCACTGCCACCAACACAGATCTGAACCCTGACCTATCCTGGGCCACGCTCCTCGTTTGTGACATACTTGGGTCTCTTGCTGCTCTCACTGTGTCCATTTTGCTGTGGGTCTTCGCTGACCCTCCACCTTCCCTAGCATGACATCCCTTTCCAAGGAATATCCAGTATCCTCTCCTAGCACCAAGCCTAAAGTATGTGAGATGAAGCTTCACCTTCTTTGCCTCAAAGGAGCACTCTGGCTGCACTTTTTTTCCCATGGTGGTTTTTTTTTTTATTTTTTAATTTTAATGGACATTTACAGAGATTTTGGATTTCCATTCACTCATTGTTGTACTTTTCTCCTTGCCCACCCCTCCTCCCCAGCTCACTCTTCTCTTTGAAAAGTAAAAGAAAAATTCCTTCGTTGATATACTATGCCCTCTCCCCAAGTACACTCCACTATGCAGCCTTCATTCTGGACTCTTTTCATGACCATAATACCCAATTGGATATCGCTTTTAAACTGTTCTCTCCCTAATATGTTTCAATGCAGCATACATAATTTATCCAATTTTTCTCAGTCTCACCCCAACCCTGATGTCAGTCCCATTCTACAACAGTGGCACTATGCAGTATTTGTCCTTTTGTGACTGAGGTATTTCACTCATCATAATGTCCTCCAAGGTCACCCATTTTGTATAATATTTCATGAGTTCCTTGTTTTTCAATGCTGCATAGTGTTCCATTGTGTGAATATACCACAGATGCTCTATCCATTCATTTGTTGATGGGCACTGAGGTTGTTTCCAACTCTTTGCTATTGCGAACAAATGGCTGCATTTTATCTAAGGCATAACTGTTTGTCATTTTGGAGGTCCATGCCATGGGAAACTCAAAGGAATGGGGGCTGGTGAACACTGAAGGGGGTGGACATGCAACAGCTCACAAAGGAATGTCAGAACAGAAGTTAAAAGAAGCAAGAGTACCCCACCCTATCCCAGAACCCACAGAGAATTTGGACTTTCAGCTCCTGATCATTTAGAAAACAAACTTCTCTTCCCCAGAACTCCCCATTTGTGGTACTTCTATTGTGTCAGCTTTAGGAGTCTAGGATGAAACCCTGCTTTCTGGGGATTGGGAAGCAGGTTAGGTTTCCAAGACTAGAAACGCTGGGCTCCCCTGCATGTCTAGAGGACCACCCCTAACAGGAGGCCACCTGCCCCTATCAACCCCAGCTCCCTGCTTTCCAAACCTCCACATTTAGCCACACACTGGGGGCTTGCAGCTGGCGCCTGCCTGGGGCCACAGATTGGTCAGGGGATGCAGCCAGGAAGGACCGTGGAGTTTGGGGCATCGCTTAAACCTGCACTGACAGCTGCACAGAGTAGATCCTGGGAGCATTCACTGTCTAAAGGAGGCTGCCCCATGGATTGTGGGGTCACCTTAAATCTCCCGGCTAGGCACAGAGGAGGAATCATCCTGGGAAGGAGCACAGATATCACAGAGATAGACACAGAGAGACTCCTAGTTTGGAGGTGCTGTTCTGTGGGAGCTTAAAGAAGAATCCTTCACCCAGGAGAGAAGTCCAGGATTTGCCTGCAGCAGCTTCTGCAAATAGCAGATAAATTAAAGGAGACAATTGTCAGGGAGTTGAAATTAAGTGAACACACACACACACACACACACACACACACACACGGCAAGCTGCTTCCTGCTGCATTTTCTGTGTGCATCACCCCAAGGCAGTGGCAGAGAAATACAATAAATAAAACAAAATAAAAGGGCTTTGTCTTGATAAAAAGATCATCATCACCAAAGCACACTGATCAATTGTTGGAAAATCCTAGTAAGCACTGCAAATGACAGCCAGACTTTGAACTGCAGCATCGGTAAACACACAACATGCACAGCACACACAACACACAACACACACAAGACACACACAATCCCCAGAACACACCACACACACCACACAAAAACACAACACACACCACAAACAAGACACACACAACCCACAGAACACAACACATGCCACACAACACACACAAGACACACACAACACATGCACAAAGCACATAATACACACAACACAGACACCAGACACACAACATATACAACACACAACACACATCACTCACACTAGAAAACACACTACACACATCACACACAAGACACACACACAACATACACCACTCACACAACATAAACAACACAATAAAGAGTAAACACAACACACAATACACTAAACACATGCAACACAGCACACAAAAAACACACAACAGACACAACACACTACACACAGCACACAACACATGCACAACACACATACCACACTCACACAACACACTACGCACACAATATACAACATGTGCACAACACACATACCACACTCACACAACAAACATAACACACAACACACATAACACAAGCACCACACACCACACACGTACCATACAACACAGAACACACAAAACATGCACAAAACATGCACAATACACAATACATACCACGTACAACATACACAACACACACCACTCACACACCACACAGGCACAACCTAATTTCCTAAGGATTCCTTCTCTCCGTCTCTCCAACCCCATGTCTCTCTCTGTGTCACACACACAACACACCCCTCACACATACACCATACACAATGCACACACCATACACACACCACACAGCCCACAACACACACACACCATACACATGGCATACTCAGAACACATACAACACACACACCACACAGACAACACAAAGAAACAACACACACAGCACACACACAACACTCACCACACACAACACAAATAACACACAACACAACACATATACAACACACTCAACATACTACACAAACACACACCACATACCACGCACACCACACAGCACACACGCCACACACACACACACACACACGCTACACACACACAGACACAGACACACACACTCCCATACACACCATTCCTGTACCCATCTGTCTAAACAATGGTCTCTCATCTTTTAAAATCCAGC